AATGCAGGATTTACATCATCAGCCGCAAGTCGCATGACCCTAAACCCTAAACCCTAAACCCTAAACCCTTTTAGTGGGAGTGGGGGATCCGTGGTCGGTGACTGCCCAAACGATCTGCCCAGAGGCCTCGAGCCTTTCTTACACCCGTTTTTTTTTGTTGGGGGGGGGTTAGGGTTTAGGGTTTAGGGTTTAGGGTTTAGGGTTTAGGGTTTAGGGGGTTAAGCTTTCTGGAACCCGAAGATCTTAGTTCCCCAATACCCAACCTGTAAGTTTTTTGGGCTCTTATAATATCATAGAAAATCTGAAAGTTTAACCTTTTGTTTCCCTTGCTTATTGGGGAAGTAAGGGAAAGCCCCGTATGAAGCCGTTAGTTATAGAATCTGCATAGGCCCGCGTGAAGCATTTGGTACATCTTCGTACTACACCCTAAAACCTAGCAACCCCTGACAATTGATCCCAGGAGGAGGTGAAGAAGTTCGACCCCTTCACTTTCGTCACGCTCAAGGAAGACAAAGACAGGCGCCAAGTGGGTGCTTAGGCTTTTGGGCCAGTGGTTAAGAGTTTAGGAGGGTTTGGGCTTTACGATCTAGGTTTAGGGTCCAGGACCCTAAACCCTAAAGGGTTTGGGGGCCATTCGGGAGAGAATCACTCCGGAATGGGGATCTCGCAGTTTCGTCAAGCGGTGTCGGAGATTTGGTAGCATCCTTCTGTAAGATTCCCTGCTATACTTCGAGTTTGGAGCCCTCCATGCAGCCTTTAATGTCCCACATCTGCGGCGGCTTCGGATGTGTATGAGGGTTTAGGGTTTAGGGTTTCAACTGAACGTGTTCCGCTTTTCTACGCTCTACATGGATGATGTTCGGCAGGGTACGACGATGTGGAGGACAGATTAGAACAGGCAGCCACGATGATCATGGAGCGTCTGTTTGGTAGCCTGCAGGGCTAAAACCCTAAACCCCAAACCCTAAACCGTAAACCGTTAAACCCGAAATCCTAAACCCTTAAACCGTTAACCCTAAACCCAAAACCCTAAACCCTAAACCCTAAACCGTTAAAGCTACAGATCCCCAATGCCTGAGGCCTGGAGCGCCTAAAACTGAACCCGAACACACCAGAACATTAAACTCAAAGCTGTGAGCCCCCAAAAAGCAAAACCCTAAAGCTCTAAGATCTTGAGCCCATATATATAGATATATGTATACATACCTTTACAGAAACGCTTATAAGAGACACCCATAGAATCATAACCCCGGTGGTATAATATAGGGGCCTAAACAACTACCTATACTATCTTGGGGGTTCGCTATACGTAGAATATACTCCCGGAACCCTTTTCTGATGATTGAGGCCCCGATGTTGCCCTAAACCCCTAACCCCTAAACCCTAAACCCTAAACCCTAAACCCTAAACCTTACAACCCTAAACCCTAAACCGCAGCAACCAAGAGGCCAGAGCACCAGCAGATCCTTTACCCGCGGCATGCAGTTCAGAACTCTGAAGGCTGGTTGGGCTCAACTTAGGAGCCCAATAGGTAAACTTTAAGCTTTTTTTGGTATATTAAACCCCTACTAAAAGACAAGTTTAAACTTTTTTTGGCCAGGGGATTGGGCTTAAAGGTCAAGTCGAAGGGCCGGATTTTGATTGAAGAGAGGGTTTAGGGTTTAGGGTTTAGGTTTCAGGGGTCAGGGTTTAGGGTTTAGGGCTTAGATTTAGGGTTTGGGTTTAGGGTTTAGGGTTTAGGGTTCAGGGTTCAGGGTTCAGGGTTTAGGGTTTAGGGTTAGGGTTTAGAGTTCAGGGTTTAGGGTTTAAGGTTTAAGGTTCAGGGTCTAGGGTTTAGGGTTTAGACTCGTGTTTAGGAAGGAATCAGGATTCACAGGGTTGTGGGTTTGGGAGATGAATTCCCAAACCAATCCGTTGTTGGACAGTTGCTGGTGGTTTGAAAGCGTTCTAACAGGTACCACTAGAGGGTTTAGGCTTAGTCAGGGTACCATACAAGGATAACCATACCGTTGAACAAATCACACACACACACACACCCTCTCCGTCCTCTCTCTCTGTGTCTCTCTCTCTCTCTCTCTCTTTCGCTCTCTGTATGTATATATATATATATACCTATACATGTATATATGTATCACTCTCTCTTTCTAACTCTTTCACTCTCTGGCTCTCTCTCTCTCTCTCTCCCATTCTCTCTTTATCGCAGTCTTCGTGTGTAAACCTGTTTTTTTACATGTGCGCACCCTAGTACGGTAACAGAAACATTGCGCTCTTTGATTAGCAAAACTCCAGCATGCACCTGCAGGAGTTGCAGGTCGTCCTGCCACACAGAACCCAGGCAGCCCTCACAGCTTGTTACTCTTCGGCAGCCCAACTGAAGCCTTCAAACTCTCTTGTACCCTAAACCCTAAACCCCAAAACTCTAAACCCTAGCTGTGTCGATAAATTTAACTCCGAACTCCTAAATTCTGAACCCTAAACGGTTGAATCCAGCCTGTTTGGAGCTCGAGAGCTTGCCCACCTCAAGCCATCCTAGGGCCACGCTTGAACGCCACGGTTCAGGATTGAGGGTTTAGGGTTTAGGGTTTAGGGTTCCCAAAACCCTTGAACCGTACACTCCAAACCGCTTTGGGAAATCCCTTTTGAGTTTTCGGTTGTGGTTTTGAGAGGGCCTATCTAACTAGACTCAGACCAAGCTGGTCGACGGCGGGCTATATGGGTAACAGGTATACTCATCATGTATACTCATCTGAATTTCCTCTGGCTGTTATCGTATTTATAGTATATGCCATCCGTTCTTACGTCTGTCATTGTCTGCAGTGTGATCATAACTAACTGATGTTACATGTCTAATGTGGAACCCCCCACGAATCATTCGACTACAGCTCTTCAGACCTCTTTGTGAGGTGGGAAGTGTCACAAAGATCCTCGGATGTTCAGCAGTTGTGCTGCTTGCTTTTTTGTTCTTCTGGGTTTAGGGTTAAGGGTTATGACAAGATAACTACACCCTAAACCCTAAACCCTAAACCCTAAACCCTAAACGCTAACCACCCCCCTAAACCCTGAGCTCTGAACCTTACACGGTGCTGAAGAGCCAAGGATCTGGTCATTAAGGACACAGACCTCTCCGTGTACAAGGGCGTGAAGCCCAATATCGAAGCTGGTCCAGTTTATGATGTCTTTGAGGGTTCTTAGCTCCTTTAAAAAGCTCTCTTGAGGGTTTCTAAGGGTCCTATACGGGTTGAGGGTTTCGGTAGGGGTTCCTTAAACAGGCTCTCTTGGGGAGTGTTTCGGCTTCTACTAGGGTTTAGGGTTAATTGTGGAGGTTCGGGTTTCGGGCCCCAAGGTTTTGGGAGTAGGATTAGTCCGAGTTCACCAGTGGATTTAAGCCGTAACCCCTAAGCCCTAAACCCCTAACTCTTAACCCTAGGACGTCGGAATTTGCCGTTTAGGATCTATTTCAAGATGAGAGTTCAGGTTTAAAGATGTAGGGTTTGGGGTTTCCGGTTTAGGGTTTAGGGTCTTGGGGCTTAGGGATCACCCCAAAACTGCCCCAAACCGAAAGCCCAAATCCCTTTTAGGTTCCTTCTAGATCCCTTTCAAAGGAGCCCTACCCGTCAAGGAACCCCATAACCCAAAGGGTCAAAAGTAACTATATGGTAGAATGTAGGGTTTCTATGTTAGGAATTGTTATTATGGTTTGGGAAAGTATCCCCCATAACAGTACCTAGGACCCTTTGGATAAGGAACCGCTAGTTTACAGGAACCCTAAGATTTGTCGCTTAAAAAGCGCGGCTCAGCCACCCAGGACTCTTACTCCGCCACTGGGCTGCACGGAGCATGAGTTTAGAGTTTAGGCTTTAGGGTTTAGGGTATTAGGGTATCAGTGTATTAGGGTATTAGGGTTTAGGGTATTAGGGTATCAGGGTACGTATTAGGGTATGGGTTTACTGGGCTTTGGAGTACCATACTTTAATACTTTTTTGGGGACCTGTTCCTTAAAGGAGCCATTGTGAAATAAAAGTCTATACTTTGTTCTCCCTCATTACTTCCAAACCCAGTTTAGGGTTTAGGGTTTGGGATTCATGGGGTTCCCTGCAGACTTCTTGCAGGGTTTAGGAGCTTAGGGTTTAGGGTTTAGGGTTAGGCGCTTAGGGTTGTTTATTTGTTCTAGGGTTCCCGCTTAGAGGCTTAGAGAACAATGGAAGAAACGAATCAGGTTTGTAAGGGGCTACTGAACACATACCCTAAACCCTAAACCCCTAAGCCCCAAACCCTAAACAAGATGATCCAGGGCCATGTGAAGAGCTCTACGAAGAGCAAGGGGTCTCTCCAGCCGCATTGCAGTTCCCTAACCCCTAAACCCTAAACCCTACCTGTCTTCCCTTTTAAAGTGGGAAGCCGTTTTTTCAGCCTGGGAAATGGGATTTGTGAGTGCTCCGGGTTTAGGGTTTTGGGGCTTAGAGAATTGTTGTTGCATCGTCAAGCCCTCATTGATGTAGAATTGTTGGGGAACCCGCTGTTACTGGAGAGGGGTGCAACGTGAAAGCCGGAATGTTGAGCAGAAGGCATTAGAGCTACTCTCCCTACCGCAACATCGGCAATTCAGGGCTAAATGATGCTGCTAATGGTTGCAGCCATCCAGGGATTTTAAGCCAGGGTTATGAACAAGGTAACTCCTGCACACTTTTGGTCTTAGTTGCGTCAAACCCCAATGAAGGTACTTTTAGGCCTATGCCTATCCTTACCGAGATCCCTGTTCCTCCCTAAGCGCTGTAGAACCCTTTTGGGTGCCTTAAAGAAACCTCTGGAGACACAAAGGAGCCCTAAACCCGATCCCCCAAGTGTAAGGGAACGGTTTAGGGTTTTGGGTGTAGGGGTTTTGGGTTGCGGCGTTTAGGGTTCAGGGGTTTTGAGTTTAGGGGCTTGGGGTTTAGGGTTCAGGGGTTTAGGGTTTAGGGGGTCAGGGGTTTGGGGTTTAGGGAGGAACCACCCTAAACCCTAAACCGGCATGTCTCGAGGCTTTCTTTGATAACATGAAGGCCAATGACACGGGACTCACTGCAATGCTCGTCGCTCGGAGAAAGATAAGGCACCAGGTGGAGTTCTCTAAGTTAATATATGGGCCTTAATAATTGCCTATGCTATTTCGGTGGTTCCTTACAATAATTACAGTATTATAATGGGCCCCGAAACCCTATTCTAAGGTGGAGTTCTCTAAATTAGTCTTGGTTGCATGGTCATCCTTCTTGGATCCAATAAGGAGCCCCAAGTAGTCTACGGAAGTTTGAACATTCCTCTCCCTAAATCCCACATCCCCCAACCCTACACCACCCTAAACCCTAAACCCTAAACCCTAAACCCTTTACACAAAGCCCTACACCGCTTATAACTTTAAGGCTGATGTCAGATTTTTTGCAACTCAGAGGATCCATCTATACTACCATGACTACCATTATGGAAGGGTTTAGGGTTTAGGGTTTAGGGGTTTAAGGTTTAGGGTTTAGGAGTTGAATAGGTCGCCAAAGTTTAGGGGTTTGGGGCTGGAAATACTGCCATTATGGAAGTGGGTCGTTAAGGGCCCTTCTTATTCGGGTTTCTGGAGCCAAATTCCATAATGGTAGTTGGTATGGACCCTCTTAGTAATAGAGTCTTGCAGCCCTTCTGTAAACGTTCCGACACCAAGCACTAATTCCTTGCAGTGTAAGTAGCTGGCGAAACGCATGTTAGGCTCTTCTTGGAAACTATCGAATCGCACCCTGAGCGGGATTATGTGCATTAATACAGGGGCCAAATAATTACCTATACTATTTTGGGGGGCTCCCTATAATAATTATGGTTTCATGGGCCCCACAACCCTTTTCTAATTATTCATGCCCCTACATTCTGTTATAATGGTTTTGTCTCGTTTGACAGGTTGAAGAACAGGCAAGCCTTGTTCCTTGGGCTTCAATGATCCGCCCAAACAGCAAGCCTTGTTTAGGCCCCTTAATAGGTCCTGCAGTGGTCCTGCACCCTAAACCCTGAAGGTTTAGGGTTTAGGGTTTAGGGTGCAGCCGAACGAATCTTTGGCAAGCTAAGCTAAACCCCCACAGAGGAAGGTGCCAGAGCCAACCACCGACCCTTCTGTATGCTATACTATATGCTGTACTACAGACTATACTATACAGTAAACCCATAAACACCAGGTGTGAAGAAACAACTAATAGCTTAATTCATACTGGGGAAGTCAAGCAGAACTAACCTGGAGGTGAAATGTAAAGAGAACCTTCAAACCTTACACGCCCTATCTAACCCCAGGAGAAAGAGAATGTCACCGATGTTTACTGCTGCGGTTTGGTCACGGACATCTGCACCTTGATTTAGTAGAGGGCCTTAATGATTACCTGTACTATTGCGGAGGACTCCTTACTATAGCTGTAGTATAATCTACCCCAAAAACCCTGTTAAAATTATTAAACCCTAAACCCTAAACCCTGTTGAAATTATTAAGGCCCTATATTCGTTTGTTGTGTGTAGCGGGTTTTGGGGCTTGAATGAGTCCGGCTGGTGTTGGGCTTCAGGAGTGTTGGCGGGCTTGGGAGCTGTATCAGGCTTTCGCAAGGTTTTGCATGGTTTTGCGTCTTTATAAGGGTCCGTATTTTGGGGTTTTTACAAGGTTTTGCATAGGGTCTGGGTCTTTATGAGGTTCCATATTTTGGGGTTTTTACACGGTGTTGCATGGGGTTTGCGTCTTTGTAAGGGTGTCATAGGTGTTTTGGGGTTTGCGGCTTCAGGATCTGAGTTTTGGGTTAAGGGCCTTGGCCCTAAGCCCCAAACCTCGAGATTTGGGGTTTAGGGCCCCTTAAGCCCTAAACCCTAAACCCTATACCCTAAACCCCAAACCCTAAACCCTAAACCGAACCCTGAGATTTGGGGGGGAGGTCAGGCCCCTGAACCAACACTTATAAGCTCCCACACCTTATCATTGCTAGCCAACCTCAGACGAGCAGAGAGTAATTAGAAGTTCCGAAACCCTACTATGCTCTAAACCCTAAACTCTAAAAGAAGTTCAACAACCCTAAACCCTAAACCCTAAACCCTAAACCCTAGAAGCCGAAGCCCAACCCCAATTCAGGCACTTTCAGCATAGCCTTCCAGGTCCCCTGATCGTCCAAGTAGGTGTTATAGGTACCCTAAACTAGAAACCCTAACCCCCAAACCCTAAACACCTAAACCCCCAAACCCCTAAACCCCCAAACCCTAAACCCTCTGAACCCTAAACCCCTAAACCCTAAACCCCTGAACCCCTAAACCCTAAACCCCTAAACCCCTAAACCCTGAACCCTAAAGCTTAAAAGGCCCTGGACATGAAACCCCTGAACCCTACACCCTGACCCCTGACCCTAGCTGGAGGATCAGCGGACTTTGTAAGTAAGTAAGGTTCAGGTTTAGGGTTCCGGGTTAAGGGTTTAGGGTCTAGGGGTTTGGGGTTTAGGGTTGTAATTCCCGTAATTGGGGTTATAAGCATATCTGTATAGTTACCTTATTCATAACCTTAGCTACTAAGTCCCATGATCCTTTAAGCCCGAAGCCCGTACAGATCCCCGAGAAAAATGAATTTAAGGAACCCTTTAAAGCTACTAAGCCCTATAATTCTTTTAAGTAAGCCCTAAACCCTCAAGCCTTGTAGAACCCTTATAGATCCCTTAAAGGATCCCTTTAAGGAACCCTAGTTACTAACCCTAAACCCTAAACCCAAAGCCCTAGACCCTAAACCCTAAACCCTAAACTTTAAGGAACCCTTTAAGGAACCCTGGTTACTAACCTTGATACCCCAAAGCCCTACACCGAAGGTGTGAAGTCCACCGCGCTTCATGGTGCTGAGGTTGGATTCAATGCAGCTGGGCTCTCACTGGCAGAAGTCAGAATAAAAGGGTCGAGGGTTCAGGGTTTAGGGTTTAGGGTTTTGGGGTTCAGGGTTTGGGGTTCAGGGTTCAGGTTTTAGGGTTGCGGGTTTGGGGTTTAGGGTTTAGAGTTCAGGGTCTTAGGGTTCAGGGTTTAGGGTTGAGGGTTGAGGGTTTCATCTATGGGGTTCTAAGTCTCATGAGGAGAAACGTAGCAGCAGTCGTCGTCTTCTGTTGCTCGTTTGTCACATAGTCAAACAGGCTTATACTGGCTGGCAGATTTTGTTGCATTGCCTACAGCTACTGGTAATGTTCGCACCGTGCTGCTGCTGCCACTGGGTAGGAGCTATTCTAGAATAATACAGAAGCCTACATAAATACCTATACTTTTTTTGGGGAGTTCCCATATATATTGTTTAATTATCGTACATTGGGCCCCACAACCCTACATGATGTTCTCTCTAGGAATTGCTTCTAGGCTCCGAAACCTTGTCAAACACTTGAAAGAAACCCACCGACATCCCACACCCTAAGCCCGGGGATAGGGTTTAGGGGATCTAGATTCAGTGGGCCAGGTTCGAGACTGTTTGTGTTGCAGCTCACTTGAGATAGAGTCCATGTTTGTCTCCCGCAGTTTTCGCAGAGATGTTTGAACACCCTGAATCATCGCGGAGACTGTGACCGTAAAAACTGCCGAAGGGTCTCGTCATCACTTGTCTGCTTATTGTCCACTTCCCTAAACCCAAAACCCTAAACTCTAAACCCTAAACCCCAGGCGGCTGATAATCAGGAGCTGCGATGATGTCGTGCTAGTCCTCACCAGAGGTTCTCAGATCCTGCAGCCAGTAATCTGAAAGTCTTAAGTTTAGGGTTTAGGGTTTAGGGTTTAGGGTTTAGGGTTTAGACAGGCTGTGCATCGACCCTTGTAGCAGCCCTTATAGTAGACCTTACAGGATCAAAACGCCTAAATCCGTACGGGTTTAGGGTTTAGGGGTTTATGTTTTGGGTTTAGGGGTTCGGTGTGTACCTTAAGAACCCAAAACCCACTTCTTTGTAGGTTCTTACTATAAACCCCAATATGGGATTTTATAGGGACCCATGGGACCCTACAAAAAAGTAGGTTTTGGGTTCTTAAGGTAGGGGTTAACAGGGAGCACTTTGAAGCCACTAGTCTGAGCTGAGGCATTTGTCATTCACGATGCCAGCCGCCCGCTCAGCAACGACAACATCGAGCCGACCAAGAAGGCTGCACTGGTCTGGGACTTCGTGTGTATTTCTTTGGCACTTAGCTTAAACCCTAGACCCTAAACCCTAAACCCCGAAAGCCCTCAACTCTGAAACGGTTGTCTTGAAGAGGGAGAGCTACTACGTGAAGTCTCCTTCCATCTAGTTTACTCAACGTGTCTCTGCGTGGACACGATATAAGAGATGGGCTAGGGCTAGAATAAGTACCAACAATATTTGTCAGGGTCTCTGGTTGTGACCCTTCTAAAAAAAAAACATTCCACGACCTTGGTCGAAGCAATATCCCCAAACCTTAAGCCTTAAACCCTAAACCAAACCATAAGGCCCAACATATTCCGGTTGCTAGGTCTTGACGGAAGCCGGTGTCGGCTGGGTCACCGTTGACGAGGCCGTGAAGAAGGCTCCTCCTCACAAGCTTGGGCCGTGGGTCCTCGAAACTTGATATATACATATATGCGTGTACACACATACATATACATGATTTATATATAGATAAACATATATATATATATACATATGTATACACACGCCTTTCTATACATACACATATATGTAATTTTAAGTATCTCTATGTATGTATATTATGTGAAGTAGTCTTTGTATTCCGGTGATTGGTGAGTGTAATTGCGAGGGGTAGTTGGGGGATACCAGCAGCAAGCGCCCTTCTTAACGCATCACTACGCAAATTATGCCGTTGGGATATTTTGCATTCTCTCTTCTTTGGCCCAAGAGGATCTTCTTTTCGAATATGTGTCAGAGCCTTGAAGGGGCCAGCCATGTGTAAGATAACCCCAAGCCCTGAGTCGGAAAACACAGGTACTAGTTCGGCATGGATGCCGAAGAGTCCATGGCCTACATAACTTCGATGCATTCCGGTGTATGTGGGAGTTTCAGAAGATTAGGGGACCCTGATATAGGACCCTAAATAGTAGGTCCCTTATTATAAGGACCCCTTACCCTAGTTTTCTGAAACTCCCATGTGTTCAGTTTATTTTGTCGGATTTTGATGGAACCAGGCTCGAGGGCTTGAGGATAAGGGCTTAATGACTTGGTGTTCGGTTTTAGTGCGAAAAGCCACCCTAAACTAAAGCCTAAACCCTGAACCCTAAACCCTAAACCCTATTATCCTGGACCTGAGCCCTAAGCCCTAAGCCTGATGTCGAAGAGTCTAAGAGATACTGAGGTTGCTGGATTTGCAGGAAGTCATGGGAATGGCCCCTGTAGTCATCGTGCACCTTCATCAGTAGCTTTGGGTCCGCAGTGTCGGCAGTATGCTTATTGCTGGCACTATCATGGTCGTCACAGATAGAAGGCTCCAGGAATTGCAAAAGGTCATGCTAATCATGGGAATTACAAAAAGTCATCCTAATCTTAGGAGTTACAACTCCGAATTCCCAGGAGTTACAAAAAGTCATCCGAATCATTGTAATCCCTCTATAGTACGAAACTGCGAATCTGGGGCCAAAGGTCAGCTTTAGGGGTTTGGGGGTTTGGGTGTTTGGGGGTTTAGGGTTCAGGGTGGGTTGGCCCTAAACCCTCCAAACCGAAGTCCCGGCAGGTCACGGCGAAGAAGGATCTGTCCCTGAAGGAGTACATGGGTCAAATCAAGCATCCTGGCTACAGCGGGACTGCTCCGATTTAGCTGTCAGCTTTTGGAGAAAACCTAGACCCTAAACCCTAAACCCCAAACCCTAAAACCCCCAAGCACCCAACCCCGTAAACCTGGCCTTTGGCCCCAGATTTCCTACTAGAGGGAAAGCTACGTTCGGGTGTACCGCATGTAAGCATTCATGGGTTGTGATATGTGGGAGGTTCCGAAAATAGGGGGTACCTTATTTCGGGGTCCTTATAATAAGGATCCTACTAATTATTTAGGGTGCTATATTGGGGTCCCCTATTTTCGGAAACCCCCATGTCAGGGTAGCTCCTCGGGGGGTTTGATGTTTTGGACTTCCAGCGTAAATGTGCGCCTGGGTTTAGGGTTTCCGTAGAGATGTAGGTGTTGTACTTCTCCATGCACTGTTCGAGCTTAGTAATCTCGTCGTCTAAATGTGTTACATATATATATATATAGATAGGTAGATAGATAGATAGATAGATAGATATCTATCTATCTATCTATCTATCTACAGAGACCCCAAAGCCCCAGTTAATTATAAAAGGCATTGGTCTATAGTTTGGTATAGTATGCTCTACTTATATTCAGGAACCCCAGAACAGGTTTGGCAATTATCTGCGCCGCTTTTGCATTTATGTTTGGCTAGATGTCCTAACCAGCACATCGTTCGCGTTTCGAGCAGCATAGGGCGTGCGAGGCTGACTCATCCGGAGACATATTTGGGCGTATTTGGACGCGGCTAGATATGACTTCAGTAGTAACTTTAACCTTTTTGGGGGCATTGTGATCCCTGGAAAAGCCGAATAGGGCACTCCACGGTTGATGGTAAAAAACCTTCATGACCCATGATAAGGGACATACATACCATTTTCCCATTGTTTAGGGTCCTCAAGGCAATGCAGGATTCATATCATCAACAGTAGTTCACCTTGGATACTGGACAACGGAGTCTGCCGGATGGGGCGAACTTGGCTGTCTTGCTTTTCGGACTTCGGCTTGGCGGGGGGCTCCCTTGCTTCAAGGACCGAATGACCCTCAAGCAGCAAGGGCCTTTCTCCCCCTATGCTAGGACTTCCGGTATCCGAGCCTGAAGCCCTTTTAGGATACATGTCGCCCTGAAGGCTTAGCTGAGCATGCGAAGGCTGAGAGGTGAAACTTCTAGGAAAGGTTCCCAAAGCCGCAGTTAGTTAAAACCAGTATGATACCCTTGCAAAGAAACCCCATGACACATCTATAGGAGACTTTCAGCGGTTCCTTGAAACCCAGTACAAATTCGCATAAAACCCCTACGACCCTACGAAGGCTATAAGAGCCGATGAATCCCGGTCCCGTTGTCGGATCCTGAAGTCTTATGGGTAGTTGTCTAAATTGGAATCCAAATTTAGGTCCCCGAATTCGTACGGCATCCTTATAAACGGACCCTACAAGCGATCCCAATTTAGAGAACTACCCTTAAACCCTAAACCCTAAACCCTAAACCCTAAACCTTATACAACCGTATAGCCGGATGAAATCCTGCTTTTGCACCAGGAACTCCCAGAATGCCAAGCGCATCCACGGCCGCCAGCCAAGAGCTGGTAGGACTAATACAGGGGCCTGAAATGTTAGAATAGAGTTTTGGGGGTATATTGCACGATAGTGATGGCAAGGAACCACCAAAACCTTGTTCGAATTATTAAGGCCCCTACATTAGGGATTTGGGATTGAGGGTTTATAAGTTTGTGTTAGGGGATGTTGGTGGTTTTTTGTGATAATTGTTTTCAAGCATGTACTGAAAGGATGCATGGGGCTTCAGGGGGTGTTATAGCGGTTTAGAGTTTAGGGTTTAGGGTTTAGGGTTTAGGATTTAGGGTTTAGGGTTATAGCATCAGGGTAGTTGGGAGGGCTTCTATCGTCAGTGGAAGGTTGGTTCAGATGATGACTCTATGCCGTTTAGATGCAGTTGTGTTTTTAGTTTTTATCGGGTTTTGCAAGTTCGCGGGTGTGGTGGCAGCAACCGTCCTTGCCTTCTTTCTATTATCGGCTGTTTTTTTATGCTTTCAGAGTAACTAACCTAAACCCTGAACCCTAAACCCTAAACCAGAAAACCCCTTAACCTAAACCCTGAACCCAAAACCGAAACCCAAAACCCCAAAACCCTCAACCCTGAAACCCCACACCCTGAAACCCGAAGCCCAGTCTGTTTGTGTCCTCGTTCTCTCTCAGGCCAGGAGGAGCCCTCTTTGTCATCTCATCGTCCAGCCTAGGGGCGAAGATGAGGTGGCGTTGCTTAGGGTGTAGGGGTGTATAAGAAAAAAACAGGCGCCCCTAAACAGTTACCAATAGTATTCTTAGAGTTCCTTGTTAGAACCCTAAACCCTAAACCCTAAACCCTAAATAGATACTAGTACTGTTAGAGCTCCTTATTCTAATAAGACCAGAAAAAAGCCCAAGACCCTAGTCTAATTATTGAGGCCTCTACATTAGGTGTCGTGGTGGATGGTGTGGGTTCCCCTAAACCCTAAACCCTAAACCCCCTAAACCCTAAACCGGAGTTTTAGTTGCGTGTGTTGGCGTTTCTGCGTTTTGGGGTTTCAGGGTTTCGAGTGAAAAGGCGCTTGGGATTTCCGTCTCCCTGGCTTTAGGGTTTAGGCTTCAGGGGGTTTAGGGTTGAGGGGGTTCAGGGGGTTTAGGGTTCAGGGTTCAGGGTTTAGGGTTTAGGGTTTAGGGTTCAGGGGGTTTAGGGTTGAGGGGGTTCAGGGGGTTTAGGGTTCAGGGTTTGGAGTTTAGGGGGTTTAGGGTTTAGGGTTGACGGTTTAGGGCTCAGAGGGTTTAGGGTTTAGGGAAGACGAGGCCCCCAATGTCATTTAGACCCTTAAGCCCTAAACCGTCACGCCGGCCGCTTGTGGAGTTGAACGTGAAACTAAACCCTAAACCTCAAAACTTAAGCCCTAAACCCCTAAATCCCTAAACCCCAAAGCCCCAAAACCCTACGCCCTAAACCCTATAAGCCCCCAAACCCTAAAGCACTTAATGTCCTTAGCTTTAGGGCTCTAGGTGTTGCGGCGCCGGAGCCCTGAACATTCCAGAAGGGGATCCCAAAGGGTCCAAAGTACCTATATAGTAGAATGTAGTTAAAACTACAGGTGGGGAGTTTAGGGTATATAGGGCTACTATCAGGCTTCTATAAGGTCTATAGACCTTCTATCAGGCTCCTATAACGGTAACTACCCACCTGAAAATGTCCTAGATGTAGGGTTTCTATACTAGGAATGGTCAGTATGATTTGGGAAAGTATCCCCCAAAACAGTACCTAGGACCCTTTGGGGATAGGGTTGGCCGCAGGCTTCAAGGCCCTATTCGGGGTTTTAGGGGTTTAGGGGTACAGGGTTTAGAGTTTAGGGTTTTACACCCTAAACTCTATGACCTAAACCCTAAACGCTAAACTCTGAACCCTAGAACCCCTAAACCCTAAACTCTTCAGAGTTTAGGGTTTAGGGTTTAGGTCCCAGAGTTTAGGGTGTAGGATTTAGGGTTGAGGGGTTTTTAGGGTTCAGAGTTTAGGGTTTAGGTCTTAGGTCTTAGACTAGAGTTTAGGGTGTAGGATTTAGGGTTTGGGTCTCAGGGTTTAGGGTTTGGGGATTCAAGGAACCGACGTAGGAACCCAAATAGAGACCCAAAGACCGTCTATGGTCACACAGGAACCTTGGGGGTTCCCTTTAGAGGGTTCTATAAAGGTTCTTGTAAAGGGTTTCATAAAAGGGTTATATTATAAGGGGCTTAGGGGTTTAATATAAGGGTTCCTCTAAAGGGTTCTATAAGGGTAGTATAAGGGGTGAAGGGGCTTCATATAAGGGTTCCTCTACAGAGTTCTTTAAGGGTACTACAAGGGTTTTGGGGTTTCAATGCGGAATAAAAGAAGCGGGCGCAAAAGTAGCCAGAAGTAAGCAAAAACAAGGAAATTCCCAATGTTCCAAAGCTAGTGCGGTTTCATTTCGTTTTACGAAACGCGATCGTGGACATGAAAGGCGGGAAACATGAAGCGCGCGCGAAAGTAGTTAGAAGTAAGCAAAAACAAGGAAATTCCCAATGTTCCAAAGCTAATCCGGTTTCATTTCGTTTTACGAAACGCGATCGTGGAAATGAAATGCGGAAAACATGAAGCGCATGCGCGCGAAAATAGTTAAGAGTAACCCCAATGTCCCAAAGCTAATGCGGTTTCGTTTCGTTTTAGGAAGCGCGATCGTGAAAATGAAATGCGAAAAACACTGGAACCTTAGCATGGCAGTCTTAGAAGTTTAGGGGTTGAATGTAAGGGTTCCTCTAAAGAGTTCTACAAGGGTACTATAAGGGTTTGGGGGTTTCATACTACAAGGGTTCCTCTAAAGGGTTCTATAAGGGTATTATAAGGGTTTAGTTTAAGGGCTTGGGGGATTAATGTGGGAGCCTGATTAAGAGACCTTGGGTCTTTCTTAGGTTTTTGGTCTGGATCCAATTATGTATTTTGGGAGTTCAGAGTTTAGGATTTAGAGATTCTTAATCAGGTTCCTGCACAAATATAGGGGCCTTAATAATTAGAATAGGGTTTTGGGGCCCATTATACTATACTTATAATAAGGAGCCCCCAAGATAGTAGGTAACTGTTTAGGCTCCTACATTACTTGCTTCAGGAGGTTTCGAAGCTTGCTTCCTTTTCAGGCCTAAACGACTTTTGGACACCTCGTCTTCCTTGCTAGGGGATGCTGATGCTGATGATGGTGCGAGTAGTCATACTCGCCCTCTGGCGCACTGAGATGAGGAGAGGACGGAGAGGAAGGAAAGCCAAGAAGCGGATTCTGACAAGTTTCAGACCTGACCCCCAAGCGTTTTTTCAAAGCCCGACACGATTCCCACCCAAAGTTAAGCCCTACGGCTTGAACAAAGCAACAGCCCCTCAGCGAGCCATACCTTAATTTCGAAACACTGGGCAGATACCTCCCGTAAACCAACTACTGGTCGAGGCTTGAAGAAC